AAACCACACACCTCCATTATCACTGAAATCATTTGCTATGAAGTCAGCACACTGTCCCATGCTGGTGAGGAACCCAGAAGTCTCCAAAGGGAACAAGCTCTGTCCCCTTCTCCCTTGAGAATCACAGAGTATAAGAAGAAGAGATGAGAGTGTGGTAAATAGTGTTGATCATGGAAATTATATAAAGATTTAAGAGATTTCTTGATTATCTTCGAGGCCCCATACTGGAACTTCCACCTAGCTACCTCCTCAAGATCTCTTGTAGCAGTTACATTAATCGGAAATGACAGAAACCAGTTCTGTCTACCTTAATGGAGCGAGGCCACTACTACCACTGCAGGAAACAAAACTGCTACAGTGAATGATTCCTTAATATTTCTAAGGCTTTGTACTCAAAATTCAACAGTATAGAAAGGGTTGTCTGACCAAAACAAGGCCATCCCTGTCTGCCAAGATAGATAGAAAGAAGAAAGGTCTGACTCCATAAGCTTCTGTATTTCTCCATAGAATGATCACTCATTGTTTTAAATCTCCAAAATCAGAAAAGCAGCTGGATACTAGCTAGCCAAAATGTAAAAAAAAAAAAAAGAAAGAAAGAAAGAAAGAAAGAAAAAAAAAAGACAAATGTCTATTATGACTCCCAGATTTTATTTCAATTAACTTTGTGAAAGATATGTCTACAACTTGGCTTTTTAAATGGAATTTCAAAGCACTAACACTTGGATAGTCTCAAAAAAATCACGTGACATATATTCAGAAAAGAAGATGTCATTTATTTTAATTTTTGGTGACTTTATATCTGGGAGTAGGGAGAAACAGGGAGAAATGAATAAGTTCTAAAGGTAGAAAAACGTTAATTTCTAAAGTAAATTAGATTTGTTAAATATAAAAATTATATCATCAGCATTAATATAATTAACATGACCTCTGTCTTAAGTAGTTGGTTTAATTATACAAACATTTAAAACTTGATTTTTTAAAATAATCTCAGACTGTATTTTGTTCTTTATTATGGTAGCTAAACAGCATCTAAGAAACACATGGGATAGACTTTTTGTTTCTGTTTTTTGTTTTTTGTTGTATTTATTTTTTTTTAAGATTTTATTTATTTATTTGACAGAGAGATCACAAGTAGGCAGAGAGGCAGGCAGAGAGAGAAGGAAGCAGGCTCCCCACTGAGCAGAGAGCCCGATGCCGGGCTCGATCCCAGGACCCTGAGATCATGACCTGAGCTGAAAGCAGAGGCTTAACCCACTGAACCACCAAGCTCCGTGTTTTTTATTTTTTTTAACTGGAAATCTGTACCTCTTAATCCGCTTCACGTGTTTCGCCCATACCCCTCCCCCCACCACGGCCTTCCCTTCTGGCAATCACTAGTTTATTCCTGTATTTATGAGTCTGTTTGTTTTCATTTATTTGCTTTGTTGGGACAGACTTTTAAATTGGCCTTTTAAAAAAAAGTCAATAATGGGCAAAGAGAAGAAACCAGGAAATTACATTACATTAAAGTCAGAATTCAGGCTGAGATCTTAGCAGTAATAACAGCAATTAATAACTGCTATTACACCTGTCAGAATGGCTAGACCTAAAAAGACAGAAAATAACAAGTGTTGGTGAGGATGTGGAAAAAAAGAACCCTCAGGCTGTGCTGGTGGCAATGTAAATTGATGCAGCTACTATGGAAATCAGTATGGGGGCTCCTCAAGAAATTAAAAACAAAGGGGGACCTGGGTGACTCAGTTGGTAAACGTCCAGCTCTTGATTTTGGCTTAGGTCGTGGTCTCGGGGGTATAAGATTGAGCCCCATGTTGGGCTCTGTGCTCAGTAGAAGGTCTCTTGCTCTCTCTCTCTCTCTCCCCCTCTCTTTCTCTCCCTCTGCCCCTCCCCCTGCTCGCACTTGCTCTCCCTCACATAAATAAATCTTTAAAAAAAATTTAAAAATATTAATAGCACATGATTCTATAGCTCTACCATTGGGTATTTACCCAAAGAAAATGAAAACGCTACTTCAAAAAGGTATGTGCACCCTATATTTACTGCAGCATTATTTACAATAGCCAAGATATGAAAGATACAAAAGATGAATGGATAAAGAAGATGTGGTATACATATATATATACAATGGACTACCACTCAGCCATAAGTAAGGATGAGATCTGGCCATTTACAATAATACGGATGAAACTAGAGGGTATTATGCTAAGGGAAATAATCAGACAGAGAAAGATGAATACCATATGATTTCACTTATTTATACAATCTAAAAACAAAGCAAACAAACGAAAAGCAGAAACAGAACCATAATACAGAGAACAAACTGATGGCTGCCAAAGGGGAGGGCAGGGGGGGATGGGGAAAATGGGTGAAGGGGAGTGGGAGATACAGGCTTCCAGCTATGGAAGGGATAGTCATGGGGATAAAAAAGTACAGCACAGGAAATATAGTCAACAGTATTGTGATAAGTAGCATTGTATGGTGACAGATGGTTCCTACACTTGTGGTGAGCACAGCATAAAGTATAAAATTGTCTAATCACCATGTTGTACACCTGAAACTAATATAACATACATCAACTAGATTTCAATTAAGAAAGATAGCAGCCAATATTTATTATTTAACATTCACCATATCAAGTACTCTAAGAACTTTACATTTGTCATCAGCTAATCCTCCCGAGAATCCAAGCATTTCCGTTTCACATATAACGAAACAGGGTAGTTAAGTGGCCCCTAGTTTCATATATAGCCAGTAACTGGTCAGGTCACCATATAGTCCCAAAACATGTGCTTTGAAGCAACCATCCTGCTGCTTCCCTTAAGCCCGTGATTATGTGTCTTGGCTCTAACTTTATAAAATCAAAAGTATTCTCTATTCTACCTCACATATAGAGATATGGTTAATATGAAAAAAATCAGGCCAGCATTTCACCATCTAGGCAAAAACCTTTCAAAAATTAATTCTGCACACTAATCTCTCCAAACCATCACACTCAAGCTTCAACCAGTTGTCCCGAAGTGGAAATTCGCCTATAGTAACACTTCAAAATCCCTTAACTATACTCAAATTCAGAAGGTATGATATATAAACTATCGGAGGTTTTGATATATTTGGTTTCCTAACAGGTTCCTAAAAGCTAATTAAATGTACAAAAGGGTCTACAACCAATCTTGTTTCCCATAATAACTATTTTAATAGCAGCTGTATCCTCAATTATATTTTGATTATAATTTGAAGGTGCCCTTTCCCTTCCCTCAACTTTTATAAGACACAGGAAGATAAACAGAAGGAAAACAGTATGTGCCAAAGTACACTACAGATCATGGGGCTGGGGGACTATGGAGATCCATTCTCTAAAAATTCACGTCCTACATCTAGTCTTTCATTTCAACAGAACCTAGATAAAAGGAGCGTTTTCATTATGTACTATTGGAAGGGGGATTAGGAGGAAGAGGAAAGAATATTAATTTCGGTAAGATATTAAAAGCACTGATAGAATGGAAAATTCAGAGGGGTACAGGTAAGAAAACAGAACACTGAAGCCTAGAAATGATAATAATTCAAGAAGGTGAAAACTATATAAAATTCTGTGACTAATGACAAAAGAATCCAACATACTTTGCAAGGTAAAGCAAGAAAGAATGAAGATAGGGAAGTTATAACTCTAGATTAGGTAAGAATACATATCAAGTTCAAATACTAATCATCACATGGTAACTTACCACAACTAAAGAGGTGTTGTGGTCAGAGAGGATACTTAAAAGTTCAAGCTTTTCAGGGTAGTTTTAGGTAATAATGTAGTTCAGGATGTGGTCAGTGAAAAACTTAGGAGGAAATGGGAGAATAAAACGAAAATGGAAGATTTCAAAGATCAAAAAGGACCAGGGTATCCAAGGGCTCATGTCAACAGATGTGGAAGTAACAAAAGACAATGACAGAGAATGTGATAAAGAAGTCGTACATCAGGCACTGCAGTAATTTGAGGGAAAATAAAAAATATACCGGAAACTGGAATAAGATAGCTATTTAGAGAGAGAAAAATCTTAATAACTATACCACCATACATCTTTAAAAATGACTTATATATTTGAGTTTTATGATAAAGATAAACATGAAAGACTAAACTTGAAATGGATATCATCCCAGAAGACAACAACTATGCAAATCAACCTGCCATGGACTAAACAAATATCCACCATCTTGAAGGTCAGGAAATAAATACACTCAAAAGAAACTATGCTGGTCTTCTGGAAGTTTGTTGTAGATTTCAAAATGAATGGTATACAGTAAAGCAAAACATTAAATACACACACACACACACACACACAATTTAGATAAATACAAAAGAGAAAGAAATGTTGACTAAATACAATTTCACATCATCTTGAAATTTAAAATGGTTGAAAAGTTCAGTTTTACTCGAAATTGCTTTTTTTCTAGGTTATGGCACATGTTGAACATGTTAAGCTTTGTACCACTGTATTTGAGCCACTCACTGAAAGCTTCCCAATGCTAACAGCCGGTGTTTACTTTTAGCAACATAAACAAAAAGATTTTGCCTTAGTGCTAGATGACTTTCCTTGAATCAACCTAAAGCATCCAAATATGTCATCTAATTCAGTAAGAACTTGTATTTTATAATGGCACTCATTTGATGCTAGGACGGAAAATTGCAGTCTTTTAAACAGACTGTAAATTAACTAAATTTGTAATAGTAATCCATCAAAATTTAGTTCCACATCAGTTAGCATCTGACTTGCATTTGGACAGTTAATGTTGTTAATCCTTTTCTTAACCAACTTTATATTGCCATCTCCCTATTTCCCTTTTGATGGAAAAAAATTGCTTCTAAGAGTAAGAAATAATAAAGCCTTCTTATTCTGAGAGAACACGATTTCCACCACAATAAAAAGAAAAAGGAAAGAAAAATGGTTAACCTTTATTTAAAATGTTATACCTGTCAGGTTGATCTAACAACTTAGATATCATCAGGTAATACTTACCAATACATACGTCGATTTTCCCTTTGATAGCAGCTTCATGCAGAGGGGTATAGTTCCAGTTATCCCGGGCATTTGGATCAGCTCCTTGGCACAGTAACAGACTTACAACCTCAGCATGGCCGAAAGAACAGGCATTATGAAGTGGAATGAGACCTCCATCATCACGAGCATGGACGTTAGCACCCATCTGTAGTAAGTGTTCTACGACATCTTTCCTTCCAAACCCTAAAAAGAAGAAAAATATACATTGAAACAATTTTGTAAAAAGAACCATTAATATTTATTGAATAATATTACCAAATAGGAATGCTAGCAATACTGTCTTCTATAGTAAAAAGAGTTAAAAAAAAAATGGCTACCATTCAAATGGATTCTCTCCTGTTAACAGAACTCAGAACTAAGAAAGCTCTTCCTTAAGTCTTTGGACAAAAGACTTTTTTTATTTTTTCCAAAGAACATTTCTTCAACACCTTTTATGTGCCGGGCAACTCTGCTAGAAATACAAAATTGAGTAAGACTCCAATCCAAGGCATTCACTTTGCCCTCATGCTTCACAAGAAAAAATTATATGCATAAAATCCATCTATTTTAAGAAATAAAGGTTAATTAAATACTGCTGACAGTCAAATCTAAAACAAATTACAACACTAAACATTATACCAGAAGAACTAGAGAAGAACGTATGGATACCAGAAATATGTGGTAATAGTTTGGTTATGAGAACTCTGAAAAGAAGAACTAAAGATAATGCCAAAATATCTACTCTTGGGACTGGTGGGCAAACTAAAAGTAAAACAAGGCAAGCTTGGATTTAGTCTGAGGAAACAATATGACAAACAAATGCGAATACAGGCATTAAGAAAGAACCAGAAAGGGCGCCTGGGTGGCTCAGTGGTTTAAGCCACTGCCTTCAGCTCAGGTCATGATCTCAGGGTCCTGGGATCGAGTCCCGCATCAGGCTCTCTGCTCAGCAGGAAGCCTGCTTCCCTCTCTCTCTCTAACTGCCTTTCTGCCTACTTGTGATCTCTGTCTGTCAAATTAATTAATTAATTAATTAAAAAAAAAGAAAGAAAGAAAGAAAGAAACAAAGAACCAGAAAACTAATAGGAAGTAACAATTTTCAGATAGAAAAAGTGGGGGGAAAGAACGGATCTGAATCAATGGAAGGACCAGGCACACACTGAGAAAAGTAAAAATTACCAAGAAAGTACATTATGGAAGACAAAGGGCAACAACACTATGCGAAGTACAGCATGATAAGGATTTAGAGGGGTAAAAAAGCCACTGACAATTTTAAATCATAGTACAGCGATGAATTACAAGCCACACTGCAACGGATTAAGAAGAAAGAAGACTGTAAGCATTAGTATTTTATCTTTAGAAGCTAATATTGTTCTCAATGATTCTTTCGTTCCTACCTGAAATTTTATTTGGTCTTATTGTCTAAGTATCACTACCTGCATGCTATTACTTACTGTGTAATGTAGTTAGAAAGTGGCATCAAAAATAAAACTAAAAGAATGAAATGGTCATATCTTCCTTCATTTTATGCATATAAACTAAATGAACACTATGAGGAATATAGAAAAAAAAGATTTATTTCAAGATATGTTCTCCATACTATCTACAGAAATTCATTCAATCCAGGAAAACAAGCTCTAAGAAAAAGTCTCCCAAGTAAGACATTTTCCACCGATCCATATTACAAAGTCAGAACTGGGTTTCCACAGAAAATATCCTTCAAATTCAGCTGAAAATTTTCAGTGAAAAGAGGTCAATTCTGTATCACTAACTGAAATCTCAAAAGTATAGGATACATGCTAATATAACTATCCCCATCTTGGCTGTTTGTTTCTTAATACCTGCACAACTTTACAGATGTTAGGTTCTGTTTATTTCTCTAACTTCAGTGTCCTTCACCCTATTATCACAACCTTACTCTCCATCAGGCCATAGGTGCCTTCCTTGCTCATGAAGGTTTCATGATTTTCCTTCTATGGATCTGAATAAAGTCTGCATGGCAAACTCACATTTCCCTAATCAATGCATTGATAATATTTGAGAACGATAATTTCCTTTCTTCAATAATAAACAAGGAACCTAAAATAAGACCCTTTTTTTAAAAACTTATCACCTGGCATTTTAAAAAGTATCCATTACAAATTTGAAGCAAAATGGCAAAGAGTATATTTACTTTTTACTAATACTTTTAGATCTAAAATATAAAAAGCAAACCAAAAAATGCTTGGTATGAAACAGAGTGCAGGGAAATGGAATTGTGCTCACACACAGATAATGAGTATAAACTGGTACCACATTTAAAAAAAAAAAAAAAAAATTAGCATTATCTGAACCAAGACTGCATCAAGATGTTTATCAAAGCATTATTTATGGAAAATCATGGAAACAATTCAGATGTCCAACAATAAAGACTCTGTTAAATAAACGATGGTTTTTCATATGACATTATCCTGTACTAAAAGGATGCTCTTGAACATTGTGAATATACTTAATGCCACTGAATTATACATTAAAAATGGCTAAAAGGGTAAATTTTATTTTTAAATAAAATTTAAAATTTTTAAATTTGTATATTTTACTTTAGTTAAAAAAAATTTAAAAAGTATAAACCACAAATGCAAGAAAACACAGGATGTTAACACAAAACATGGAAAATTATTTTTAGAGTAATTAGTCTTTTAGATTAAAAATATATAAAACAAAATACAGGAGAAAAATATATATACACATGTATATTTGAAGATAGAAAAAAGATTAAATCACTAAGTAGTGGGATTATAGAATTTCCTTTTCTTCTCTTTATCTGTTTTCCTATTATATAAAAACACAATTTTGTATAAAATTTATCTAATTGTGTACACATACATGTTTATAAAAGAACATGGAAGTAAACAGTCAAAATCAGTAGACAATGAAGGAATTATCTCTTTTAACTTGGTCTTGCATTAATAAAATATATTATTAAATGAGAGGTTTCGTTGTCCACCCAACAGTACCCTATTTAAATGGCTTAGAAATTTAGTACTTAGTAATTTAGAAAAACTTATTTAAAACATATAGTTTAGTTAGAACATATATTTTATCTGTTCCATTGAGTACGAATCATAACTGGTCATTCATCATTCTATAATGTTAAATGCTTATACACTATTTTCACACATAGAGAGAATTCATTATCTCTGATGGTTATTTCACAAACAAGGTTTGTAGTCATAATTATCCCTATAATCGAATTGCTTATTTGGGTCTAAAGAACCAAAATAAAAATAGTAATTAGGATCACAGTCAAAGAACTGCATAGAATTTGAAGTAACTTATCGCTAATTAACTCTTTGGAAAACAACCAAAAATAAAAGCATTACAGACACATACCGCAGACAAGACTTTCAGTGTCACATTTCATTAAGTAACCACATGATTAAAAAAAATAGCTAAATCACAATTTTTTAATGTTGCCACTTATACACAGTTGCTACTTATCCATGTATGGCTAGGCTCAGTGTAAGGAAGGACAGAAGGAAAACCAATATACCTTCTCTCTCTGATCCAGCAAAGGTCACTTAAAAGTAAGACTGTAATTCCCTGATCTTTACCAACACACAGCATATGCTACTGAGTTACACTAGAGGGATAATTTAGCTTTTACAGAAAAACTCTTTTTGCTCAAAGTACATGCCCTATTCTTGACAACACTAAAAAATAACAATAATGGTAAGTAACGAACATTTAGTAAGCTCTTACATGTGTCAAAAAGAATGCCAAATACTTGACATGCATCATCTCCTTATGATAACACCCTGTGAGAGATACCATTATCCTCATTTTGTTAAGTAATTCTTTCCTTCAGTGCTGATATTCATGAACCTTGCTTCTAAATACACATCTCAATTCTGTCTACTCCCCAGTACTACATCTCGGCTTCTAGTTCCATAATCTCCTGTCTAGACTTCCGCATACAGCCTTCTAACAGCATATCCTTCTAATGGTCTCTCTGCTGTCACATCTACTGCCCTACAATTCATTGTCAACACAGTAGGCGAGTGATCTTTCCAAGTCATGTATCAGATTAGGTCATTTCCCTGCTTAAAATCTTGCAATGGGCTCCCATAACACATACAATAAAATATTACTACAAACTCCTTAGGATCTACAAGGCTCTATGTGAGCTGACCCCTCTCCTTTCTCCCACGTCATTGAGTTTTATTTGCCCTGTCTTTCACTTTCTGTTCCCTGATTATGACAAACTCCTTTCAGCCTCGGCGACTTTACACTGTTCTCCGAGAACTTGCACCCGGGATCTTCACTCCCCTAGCTCCTTCTGCCATCCAATTATCAGCCCAAAGATAAGCAACTCGGTGAACTCTGCCTGACCACTCAATTTAAAGTCACCTATGCATGTACACATACTTTTCTGTCACTTTTTTCAGTATCACTCAGTTTTACTTTCTTTCTGCATATAATCACTCCCTGAAATTACCTTGTTCATTTACCTATTTGCCTTTTATATAACTCACCACTCAAGATGTTCCATAAAAAAAGGTATTCTTATGTAAGAACTATCTCATGAGCCAGTGTGTGTCTCCAGCATCAAAAATAGTGCCGGGGGTGCCTGGGTGGCTCAGTGGGTTAAAGCCTCTGCCTTGGGCTCAGATCATGGTCTCAGGGTCCTGGGATGGAGCCCCACCTAGGGCTCTCTGCTCAGCGGGGAGCCTACTTCCTCCACTCTCCCTGCTTGCCTCTCTGACTACTTGTAATCTATCAAATAAATAAATAAAATCTTTAAAAAAAATAGTGCCTGATACACAGTATGGCTTCAGCAAAATATTTGCTAATTACATGAATATACATAATGTTACTTACTTCATAATTAAATCAAAGAGCAAGTGAGTAGCTTTAAATTCTGTATTTTTAATTTACAAAAAGAAAACATATGATCTTCCAACTACAAAAATACCAGAGATATTTTTAAGTATTTAAACAAAACACCAAATTTTCACAAAGGAAAATCTTCTGTAATGCCATCATCATCCAGAAATAACCAGCATGAACATTTTGATGATTAAACTTCCAGATTTCTTTTTTTGTGTGTGTATATGTTTTAACATCTTCACTCTGCCTTTTTGCTTTTCAACTATCTCAGATATTTTTTCAGGTAAAAATTTAAAATGTATACATCATTTTCTTATGAATTACTTAGATTTCTA